CCCCAAAACCCCAAAACCCCAAAACCCCAAAACCCCAAAACCCCAAAACCCCTCATATTTCTAAAGTATTGTAATAATTATAAATGAAGATCAGTTTTGGTCTTACTTACCTGCTCTTAGTTAACTTTCTCTCAATGCAAGGTATGCTGACTGGATTTAGCCTTTCTGTTGCTTTTTAAAAGTTTGCTAAATGTTAAAATTTAAGATAAATATGATTATTCTAGTGTAAAATTAAGATACATATTTATGAAATTTCTAATTTGCTTAAAATATAGTCAGAAGCCAGTGCCCTAAAGTCAACTGCTTGACCTCAGATTCGAGTGTCCCAGAGGATGGAAATACAAAAAGGAATAGAATTTGCTCTCAGAAATCCTCAAACGATATTTCCATAAGCAGCAATGTATGAGCTGAAGATGAGTCATGATTTATAAGCCAAAATTGGCATGGCACATGTGAACCCTCTGTCTCTCCAGATTTCGGGATAATCCTTTACCCTGGATACCGTTGTAGAGGTTCTGAAGTTTTTGGAACATGAAGATTTGGTACAAAAGTTTGCAATAACGAAGATAGATGTGAAGGCTATCCATCCTATCATTACTGAAGACGAACTAGTGATTGCAACTTTGACCACTACTGCAGTCATGATGGAATCTGACTACTTTTGAATGAGAATGGGGAAAGCTGATCAACACATGATTCATGAGAAAAGAATTCAATGTGTCATTACACTGATCCAACCGATGACTTTGGAACTTGTGTTGAAGTTGCTTCTAAAGACGAAAGAGAACTTGTACTCCCAGAGTATAACAAGGTCCCTGTGAGGCAAGATGATATGGAAAAGCTGTGCAGAACAGGCATGGTCAACAGGACAACAGGCAATTGAGCAATCAAGCTTAAATCCACCAATAAGGGCAAAGAATGCACTACTGATAATGACTGACCAACCTCTGATGAAAATGTTAAAGCTGCTTGTAAATGTGGATATAGCGGAGATGGAAAGAAATATTGCGACATTGAAGCTGGAGATACTGAATGGGTCGATGCTACAAATAAGTTCGAAGAATTCTTTTTAACCAACCTTGATTGACACACAGGTGAAGGATTTGGAAGATGTGGACAAAAAGAATCCCAATTTATGGAATATAGGTGAGCTGAGTTCAAAGCTAAACATTATGTTGAGCTTCTGAACAATCCGGATTGTCTCAAGGAAAATTATCAGAACAGTCCTATTTTCTGGGAATACTCGGTTTATTGAAGCTCTTGGAAAGGTTCGATTCTTATGTCAACTCTGATGATCTTCGCTTTCGTGTTGTGGCAATAATTAGTAATTTCAATATAAATTCAAAGATAAGGGGTTTTGGGGTTTTGGGGTTTTGGGGTTTTGGGGTTTTGGGG